TGAAGCTAGTTGAGGGCAGGGTGGGGAATAATACCAAACTGTCATTAATAGTGTTGTTTAAGTGTCAGTAGTCATCCATTTGCCTATGACTTTCTCCAGAACATGGACTGTTTCTTTCCTTCCTTCCTTTCCTTCCATTATTCCTTCCCTCCCTCCCTCCTTCCTTCTTTCCCTCCTTTCTTCCTTCTTTCCTTTTTCTTTCTTTCCGTCTATGACAATGGGAGTAGACATTCATTTACTTTGGTTTGACGCAATAGCAATGACTCAATCTGCACTCAAAAAATGTTACAACTCTTTCAGGTCAAGAAACATGATTGTTTCTCGCAAGCCAAGATGTAGTCACAAATCACATGATCCCACAGGCCAGCACTGGCTTCGGTCATGGCTGGTCTGATTCAGCCCGAAGCAGGAAGGCGAATGTGGTTAATTAAGACTACAGGGAATGTTTAGACTGTGTGCAACCGATACCCCAGTCACCGTCTCCAAGTGTTACTGGAGATGGAGTTGGGCATACAACTCAAATGTTACTGTACTTCCTAAAATCCTTCCAGATACTGTCAGGGAGGGACTTAAGAGGAATGATTTAGCACGTTTAAAATTGTCCTGGTGGCACACTTAAACAATGGTGACTGATGAGAAGGGACAAGTAGTAATTCCCGAATTATGTTTCTATTTATACTTTAGTTATAACATTGCAGGAAGAGAACAAAACTGGGTTCCCTCATGGCCTCCACAGAACTGGGTTTAGCGGCTCTAACAAGGATGATGCTGATAAAGGCATGGTGAGTGCAGGAATGAATAGGTGAAACTATCATATCTTTGATAGACCAGCAGAAATCTCTCCTGGCTCTTTGGTGAAAGATCTCAGACAAAGACATAAAGTGCAAATGATTTTCTCTACTAATGGCAATAGGGCAGAACCTACTGGACAAACACACCCTGAAGTGGTTTTTGAATTCTAAATAAAAGATAATTCATCCTCCTGCTAATTACTCATTTAGCTTCAGAAATCAGCCAGTTGGCACAAGACACTAAAACATACCTAGTCCAAACTAGAGCTCATCACAGAAATCCTCAACAAGTATAACTCCCAATGCAAATGATGCTCCCCAGGAAGGTTTGCAGTGAGTAGTTCCATAAAATCCTGCAAGAAGCAAGGGTTCTTGTTCCAGTAAGTAGAGAAATACTGCAACAATGACCCTTTCTTGGAGATTCACAATGCACATTATGCTGTTAAGACATCTGCCACACAGAAAAACTTCTTCAATTGTGTTTAATACAATGATTCCCAAATATGTTTGGTCATAGAACTCTAAAACATATAGTTGTACATTAAATATATTTTTAAAATTTGTATCTGTATCTTACCTGTGTCCATATTTATAGAGATATGGATTTATATCCTGAAAAAATGGTTTCTAATGAAACAGTCATAACTTGTCTTGGTTAGATTGTACTGGTTGTGTTGAAGCTGAACTTGGTCACAGGTGAATGAGAGTTTACCCTCCAAGTAGCTACGTGTGTGATTTGATGCCTACAGAAGGTTTTGACTAGGGAGATTATATGCAGAGCAGAATGGAGAAACCCTGGGGACAGGAATTAATGGAAGTGGGGATAATGAAAGTAGAAGAAAATGGTAAGATATCTGAATTTGTAACTACCACCAGCTCTACCCCCCTCTACTTACATGCCCCAAATAGCTGATTGAGCCCTGTAGTAGAAATGGCTAAAACCAAGAACTGTCTTGCTGAGAGACTGTGAGGTCTAGTCATTGACTGTGTTGATTTAGAGACCAGGTGGCAAAGCATACAACTGATGGCAGGAAACTCAGAGGAGTGGGGTCCTCTAGGAGTAGCTGTGGCTGACCGAAGGGTCAGAGTAGAAACCTATGAGTATAATCATTCCAGAGCACCTGTTGGACACTACCTGCCGTGAGATTCCTCACAATAACTGAGGAAATTGTCACAGTCACATTGTCCAACTGGTCAGTCATAAGAACATTTTAGTTTTGTTCATAATCTCTAAGCATTAGTGGGCTTTTACAAGACATCTTAATGTCTTATACCTCAGTCTTTTTTTTAATCTTTAAGCATGACTAAAATCAGAATGGGTAATTTTCACTTAAAGTCACCTCTTTTCAAAATCTTCTCAATTCTAATGAAATTGTCCATAAATGGTTATCTTTCATATTCTTTTTTTTTTCTTTTGAGTTGGAGTCTCACTCTGTTGCCCAGGCTGGAGTGCAGTGGCACACTCACGGCCACCCCAGCGTTGACCTGCTGGGCTCCAGCTATCCTTCCACCTCAGCCTTCCAAGTAGCCAGAACTACAGGCGTGCTCTACTACGCCTGGCTAATTTTTTTTTTAATTGTAAAGATGAGGTCTCACCAAGTTGCCTGGACTGGTCTCAAACCCGCGGGATCAAGCAATCTACTCGCCTTGACATCCCACTGAGCCAGGCCCATCTTTCATATTCTAAATGCGTGCTGTGTTGTGGGTGTCATGGGCATTGTTGCTGTTATGCTGGTAGAATAGAAAAAAGGAATTATTCAGAGATTCCTAAAAAACAAAAGATCCTAGTGTGATGCTGTGGGAGAAAACTGTGTTCTTAAAAGAAATATTTAGCCTAAATATAAATGTGAGAAAATGGTTAGACAAGTCCAGAATGTGTCTTGCTCTGCAAGACCTTGTCTAGGACTTTTCAATGGACACAGTGTGGTAAAGATCAGAGGGAAGAGGTAGGACTTGTCTGGACTGGGGGAGACAGAAATACACAACAATCGAAGTAATGCAAGGAGTTTGCTTGAATTCTGGACTTTAAAAATAATCAAGAGGACTTTAAAAAAAAGTCTTGAACCTTGAGTGTGAACTGCATGTTGAGTGATGCTATTGAATAAATGATTTTCTTAGATGTGATCATGGTATTCTGGCTAAAGAAGAGAATGTCCTTCTCCTTGGGTGATGCTTGACAAAGTATTTAATGGTGGAGGTGGAGAGGTATAGGAAGAGGGATGGAGGAATGTATTATGATGTCTGCTAACTATTTTTGGATGGTGTGTGTGTGTGTGTGTGTGTGTGTGTGTGTGTGTGTGTGTGGAAAGAGATCGTTTGTAGTAAAGATGGTAACAATTGATGAAGATATAGATTTATTCATTATGTTGTGTTTGCAACTGTCCTGAGAATTTGAAAACCTTTGAATTAAAAAAAGCACTCTTTAAAAATAAAATTTTATTTAAAAAATAACAAAAAAAAATTTCTTATGCAAAACTGTGTAGCTTTTTTAGTTCAGGTTTTCTGGTACAATTATCTCCCTTTCTTTACAATGTGGCTCATGCTGGAATTTTATATCCTTTTTAAGAAATAATGAAAGGCCCTAAATAAGTATGATTCCTTCTGCTCTCCCCTTTAATAAATGTTTCTGCTCTTCCAAATTATTAGGCCAATCAAGAGACTTCCTCACACTTCTTGAAGAGCACTGCAATCACCAGACTGAGAGTTTTTCTGGAACCAAGAACGTCAAAGGAACCTTGCATGCTACAAAGAGCTAACATACAGATTTCAAATTTAGTATTCCAGCACCAGATTCAATCAGCCCAGCCAACCTCTAAATATCTCAAAGAATTCCGTTTTAAAGTCCTGAGTTCTATGGCAAAACTCCTTTCTCATTCACATTGTTAAAAATGTTCACAGAATGTCCTCACAAATGCTCACATCAGAAGGTATGACTTTTGTGTATTTTCCAGAGAAGCAAAACCTTGTGAGATTAGACTCAAGGTCATAGGGAAAGGTTGAAGGAAACAGAGACAGTGGCCTAAAGAAGATAAGCTTTGTACAACATGTGAGCAACATTTCTAAGTATCTACGATACTAAAATATAGAATAGGAAAGACATGAATTATCTGAGGCCCCAATTAGATGTTAGAGACAGGTCAATTTTTTTGACTCAAGAACAGGAAAGAGTGTTTTAAAGGGAAGTTGCCAAAGATGGAATGGTGTGATTCCTTTGTAGGTAGTAAGCTGTCCATCAAAGGAAGTATGAAAATATAGCCTGTATGACCATTGGGTGAGGAACTATTTTAGAGATAACTCAAGTGTGACTTGAAATTTTCTCAGGTCCCTTTCTTCTGGGTCATATTTCCTTCTTGTTTAATCTCCCTGTGACAGAGCAGTCTCTTTGAAATAGGACCAGTTGGCAATGATGCTGGTTCTTAAACAGCCTGTCCTGTGCATGGGCTGTGTCCTTGGCTATTTGGAATAGTTTGGTATCCTGTAGCCATGCACAGCAGGGTGGGAAGAGGACGCTAAGGTGCCTGGGGGAGCCTTGTAACCCTCCATGCTGGTCTTCATCACTTCCCTGATCACCAGGTACCTTAGACAACCTGCTGCAAAGAATTCAGAGACACTTAACCTCTCAGCAGGAAAACCTCAGAGTCCTGTAGTTGGAAATAGCTCCCAACCTGCATCTCAGGCAGGTATTTTTAGGTTCTGTCTTGAAGACACAGAAACTTTCATACATTTCAGCTTCTTTGTCTGGAGTCACTGCAACCACAGACATGTCATTGAAAGGGGGTATAATTGTGGTCTCCTCCACCCACCAATCTGAGCAAGTCTGAAAGAGCTTCCTGCTGTGCGCAGGGAGGATGGAGAGCCTTTTCTGGCAACGGAAAGTCAAAATGAATTTTTTAAAATAATGATATGTTGATCAAGAAGATGAAAAAGTCTATTGAGAAAAGAGGGCTCTGCATTGGGGCTGATATGGAGGAGGAAGCTTACCTATTATTCTGAAACCTGGTCTTAGTTCTCTTTGCAAGCTTCGCACTTGGAGGAGCTAAAGTCTCCTGTTTGAGGACAGAAAAGAATACTGCTTGGAATCATCTAAGTTAGATCAGTGACTTTTATTAATATGACGCTCTCCAAGGAATAATTATCATTGTCAATCACTGGGCATAACTGACATTAAAAGGAGAAATAGGAGAGAAGCCAAAATGACACAGGGCAGATATGGAATTGGCAATAGGCATTCTGATCGTACTGGAGGAAGGGATGTCTGAGCTCCTAAGGGCGTCTGACAGCCATCACACCATGGAGCAAGTCAACAATGGTGACACAGGGCTAAGTTTTCTGGGGCTCAGGGAGCACTGTCTCAAGGGCTGATGTTCTAACTATAGGGCGATTAATCCCAAGTGTCTGAGAGGGCACTCGGTGCCTGCAGCCCATATAACCATGAAAAACAGCATTAATCAAATCAGTAAAGCTGCAGCCCCCCTCAGAAATGTTGACTGAGGTGAAGGATGTATGTGGAGTTGGTTTAATGAAATAGATGCTGGGCCTTTGCCACAGGTATAAAATAGTGACCTGATTGCATACAACATCCAGAAAAGAGATTACATGCTGTCGATTTTCTAAGCTTAACTTGATTGGAAAGCAAACATCTACTCCAGGAGGGGGCCTTAAGGAGATTCAGAGAACAACCAGAGTATCCTGCATCAAGGTTTCCCTCAAGAACCCCACTGCCATTAGAAACCAAAGTTGGAGACAAGAGCAGCTACCAAATTTGCAGGGCACAGTGCAAAGAATTCCAAGATGGCAACAGCAGGTTATAAAACTAAATGCAAGGCCCTTCTGGGAGAGGGCCTTGTGCAGACACATGGGTCACATGGCTATGAAGCCATCTGCGATTAGAGTCAATCCCTGCCTGATGGTCTCTGAAATCAGAAGCATTAGGACACATGGGGCCTCATTCAAATCACAAAAGTGTTTTGGAATAACTGGCAAGGAAAAGTCAGAATGAACTTTTAAAATATGTGTTGATAAAGAAAAGAAAACCATCTGTTGAGGGGAGAAGCTTCTGAATTGGGCATATGAGCCTAATGATTATGCTTCAAAAAGTTAAGTTACCCTGCAAAGTTCAATATTTAATACATGGATACATGGAATCACCTAATAATACAGAAATCACCTAATCCTAGTCAAGCATTCTATTTTACACATACACACACACACATACACACACACACACACACACACACACACACACACGCATACACACACCCCTAAGAATTGTCAATACTTACTAAGTACTTACTAAGCGATAGGTTCTGTACTAAAAACTTTATTTGATCTTCATAATTACCCTATCAAGAAGGAACCATTAGTATCCCTATTTTATTATTTTTTAAAATTTTTATTATAAAGATGTAGGATACATTTCAGGGTTAGGTATATAAACATTGATCATGCAGGTACACTTGTTGAGAAAGTATGCAGTATCCCTGTTTTAAATATGACAGAACTGAGGCTTCAGAGGATTTGCTATCTGGCTCATGGGTCCACAGCTATTGTGTGGGCAGAGTCTGAATTCTAAGTTCTGATTCTTAACCACTAGACCACACTCTATTCTTTGGAAAGCACTGTCTCACTTTCTTTTCATGACAACTATGTGGAGTCATCTATCTCACTACACCATCAACAGGAGAGAAGTTAAGCCACTTGGAAAATTAGTGGGTGAATCAGATCTGATCATAGCCTCAGCTCATGGTTCTGTAATTGAACAAAGGGGAGAAAAAGGGCATGATCCTCAAAGACCCCTGAGTGTTCACACAGGGGACTCAGAGTTGGCAGGGATATCAGTATGACACATGCCCTATACCTTCTGGCAGGACATGACAGAGTCAGGCAGACAAATCAAGAGAAACAAATTGGAAAGCCTAAGGGAAGAGCCCACCGCACAAATACCTGTAAAATCTTTTTAGGTTTAAACCATGTTTTGTGATAGCCAGAAGGGGAAAAAAAAAAAAAAAACCCTCGTCCAACAGGTTGTAAACACAAAGGGGAAAGTTAATTAAATCATAACTTTGTTGCTGAAAAGACATTGTTCTCCTAGGGTTGGAAGCAAAAGTTGTCCAGAGCAGGGAATGTAGTACAGCTCATTTTAACCTTTTTTCCATTGTCTGCTCTGGTGGGAAAGATCAGAAAACAACGGGATATGAGGAAGAGGAGCCTGGAGATGCCCCCACCCCAGGCTTCACAAGCCGCTCCCTTTCATGAACAGACCTGTTTATCTAGGATAACTAAGCAGAAGCCGACTCAGCATTGACCTAGGAGCCTGAAGGAGCCTCACAGAGGTAAGTCTGAAGCAAGCAGCAGCTTGGCCTGTGAGCCCAGGGTTTCAGCACTACCAGGTGTGAGAAGTCATTCCCACTTCTGCTAGAACTTCCGTCTGCTTTGGGAATCTCATCAATGCCAAAGAGCTTCTCAAGGGAAGGAATTATTTTTTTATTCACCGTTGTATCCCTTAGTGCTTTCCCTGGCACATAGGCACCTCAGTAAATTGAACTGGCAACAGCAGGGCTAGTGGATGCCAATTATTTGGGATTATATACTATTATTTGGGATTATATACTATTTCTTTTGCTTCAAATCTTGTTTTCTGTATATTTTAACTTCCACTTGTAAGCTGAGAAGAGCTACTTGAGGTTTTTAGTGGCACTGACACCTTAACAAATCGTTATACATGTATAGAGTAAAAAGAAAAAATATTTTCACTGCACTACATGCTCTTCCTATATCTCCTGATTGTTTGTGCCTGGAAGAGAAAAAAAAAACAAAGACATATTCATGGATGAACCAGAAGTACCTTTTCCCTGATGGCAGCTTCTGAGATATTAAGCATGACTCTTAAAAGGGAGTAACCATTCCTTGCAACATACGTTTTAAATAATCCCCCAAAATGAAATACAGTAAATAAGAGTAAATGCCACCACCATCTTTAATTTCCAGTTCCAGAATACTTAAAAGATGTTGAGTAAAAATTATGCCCTAGCATTTAGTGTTAGGGGCCCTACTCTATAATTGGGTCTATTCCTGTTCATCCCAGTAAATTTTCGTTTAAGCCACACATCTTTTATGGAGCATCTCTTGTGTGAGATGATAGCTCTCCACTTCCGGGTTGGTGAGTTTCTGTTGCCAGAGATGAGTTTCTCAGCACTCGAGCTCAGCAGCTCCAAGTGAGTTATGCCCTTTCGGCTGATTCTGACTTGCCAGACCTTCAGCTATGAAAACAGGCGGTGAGAAGGAGAAGAATCTGAATAAGTACCTGGTTTCACCCCGCCATACACCACCTCCCCCAACAAATGACTGGTGGATCCTCCCAACCCTTGTTCTTCCATTCAAGTTGGGGAGGATCAGGATAAAAGAGAAAGAGAACAGGGGCCTGGAGAGAGGGCAGCCCAGCGTGCATGACTAAATGTCAGGTTGTACAAGAGAGTTATAATTAAAGTCCAAGATGACAGATAACTATAAAATCAGATTGGTTCTTTTCCACATGGAAGGAAAATATAATGTTGTCGCCCAACCCAAGCTTTTTTGTAAATTGAAATTACAGTTTTATTTGGAGCTATTTTTAAAGGTCCATTAATTAAAAATTGGAAGTCATGCCAATGCAAGAAATACCATAAAAGGTGTTAGATTTAATGATCACTAAGGACTATAATTAAAAGATGATGTTATCTGAATATCAAATGCTCTAAATCTATGTTTGTTTTTTTATTGAAAAATAAACAAAATCAGGAGCAAAAAAAAAAAAAAAAACCCAGAAAAGATATGTGCAAAATGTAATCATAATGGTTGACTTCTAAACAGCCAAGGAAATTATAGTCATCATGTGTGGGAAAAGAACAAACACCTCTTAATTGCATTTCATTATAACGTACCTTTCTCTGCTCAGTTGTATATATTAATTATAAAAATCGTGTTGCAGAGCGGAGAGGCTCCACAATAGTTTTTTCCCCCTTCCTCCCTTAATTCTGTCTGAAGCAGGATAGAAGAACAATATCATCTGTCATCTGCAGAAAGAGCTTTTAAAGACAAAATCATAAAAAGAATGAAAGGCTATTATATAAAAAAGAAAAAAATGCTTTGATTTCACAGATTTGCCACTTATTAATGTTTAAGGTTATCTGTTCTTTTAGAAAAGTATCTTCTCATATTGTTTTGTATGTGTATGTTCAGGTAACATCACTTTCTGATAACTGTATCACATGGCATATGCATTACGTAGATAATTGTTCATGGAAGGAGAGAGTGGGTAGAAAGAAGTATTATTATGGAAAGATGCCATGCAGGACTTGAAGAATTATCTAAGATGAGGCCAAAGAAGAAAGTGGTGGGTTGAATTTGAGGCCAATGCTCTTTGTCGAGGGGCTGTTGTTTGTCTCCACTTATGGCAACAATGGAGGTAATAGACTTGTACTACAATAAGAAAGACCCCGGGTAGGTGCACCAAGGACTTCCAGACTGCCAGTGTTTAAGATGATGTAAGGGGTAAGTCAAAGTGTCATTATAAATTCTGCTTCATGAGAAATCTGTTGAAAACAGGTGAGATTCATGTTTGGCAAGGGTTAAGGTGTGATTCTATAGAGAGCCAGGGACCTAACCTGGGCTTTTAGAATATGTGTGTGCATAATTGCAGTTTTCCGGGCAGAGGTCCATCACTTACCAGATTCTTGGCTGCATTTGCAATCCAGAAAGGCTTAAGTAAGAACGGCTGCTCTAGGCCCTGCGTGCTCAATGTGTGGTCCACGGACCAGCAGAATCCACATCACCAGGGAATTTGTTGGAAATGTAGAATCTTGGTTTCTACCCCAGACCTACGGAATCAAAATTAACATTTAAGCAAGCTTCTTTGGTTATTCACGTGCACTTTAAAATGTGAGATGTGCTGATTTAGATGGCCCAGTGAGGATGATCCACGCCTATCCATGACTTTAGAGAGTCATAGCTATGTTTGCCCACCCATAGCTGTGCGTCACAGAGGCTTAGATTCAGCCCCAGACTCGGCCATTGACTGTGTGTGTGATTGCAGCCCTTAAGGAGGTAGCAACAATCAGCACCTTCCTCCTATGAGTGTTGTGGAAAGTAAACGTGATTGTGTGTGGAAAGCACTTAACAGGATGCCCAGCAAAGCACTCTGCAACAGTTATTACTTTTATAAATTTCCTAGATTTTGTCAGATTCTGGAAATTACTCACGACATCAAAAATGTTACGATCTACAAGTCTAGAGCGGTGGTTCTCAGCCAGGAACAATTTTGCCCCTGAAGTGCATTTGGCAATGTCTGGAGACTTCTGGCATCTGGAGGTCAGAAACAAGAGATGCAGCTGAACATCTTGCAGTGCACAGGAGAGTGCCTCACAAAAGATTATCTAGCCAAAGAAAATCAATAGTATTGAGGTTAAAAATCTCTGATCCCAAAGCAAGGGTGTGAAAAACTGACCTGATCAGGTCTTGAGCAACTAAAAATGCAAAATAGAATTGCTAACATGCCAAAAATCTGAGTAAGGCCTCTATAAGGAGTTCCACTTTGCAAGGAAGGCAAACAGTAACTGATCAGCCTATCACATTTAGATCCCCTCACCTTGTCTTGTCACCCATAGCTCAGCACCTTGATCATTTTCTTTAGAGTAACTTCATGCTTGGTAATTACTGTTCACTTACTGTGTGCTTGATTCTATTCTGCCTTGATAAGAGATATGATGGAAAACCTCTCATCTGCATGCCTCCCCAATAGCCCATGCCTGACACAGATGGGAGCTTCTGAAGCATGTGTTAAATGGCTACAATTTGTGCCAGGCTTGCCTCGTGGACAATGGTGAGACACCCCAGGCAGTTTAATATATCTCTTCCCCTGATCCCTCTGACTCTTGTTGAAGACTTGAGACAAAAATAGAATTAAACCTTGAGTTTGGGGTTATTTTAGATCTTATAAGGATTCCCAGAAACGAAATGAGATAAAAGAGAAAATAAGCAGATGGACTCCCACCCATGAGTAGCACAGCCGTGTGGTGAAAACGACAGACTGCCGTGCATTTATTTCTTTAAAAAAAGAGAGAAAGGCCAGGTTCGGTGGCTCAGCCTGTAATCCCGCGCCTTTGGGAGGCTGAGGTGAGTGGATTGCCTGAGCCCGCGGGTTCGAGACCCTCCTGGGCAGCGAGACGTCATCTCCACAATAAATCAAAAAATTAGCCAGGCGTGGTAGCGCGTGCCTGTAATTCCGGCTACTCGGAAGGCTGAGGCGGAGGGATCGCTGGAGCCCAGCAGGCGAGGCTATGGTGGCCGGAAGCGGCCACTGCACTCCAGTCTGGGCGACCGAGTGAGACTCCAACTCAAAAAAAAAAAAAAAAAAAAGAGAGAGAGAAAGATGTTGGACTCTGGGATCAGGCAGATGTAGATCCCAATCAGCTTCACCATTTACTAACTATCTGACATTACATGATACTCAACAGCTCAAAGCCTTAGTGCTCTCATCTTTAAAATGGGACCAATAATTAGAATGACTTCTGAAGGTATTCTGAGAATACAGTCACAGCAAATAGCAACAAATACTGTGTGCTGGACTACCATGTGTAAGACACTGTGCTATAGCAAAGACATGGAACCAACCGTGTTGCCCATCGAAGCTGGATTGGATTTTTTAAAATGTGGTACATATACACAATGGAATATTATGCAGCCACAAAGAAGGACAAATATGTGAATTTTACAGCAGTTTGAATGGATTTGGAGTCAATCATATTCAGTGATTTATCACAGAAACAAAGAACAGAGTTCCACATGTTCTCGCTCATAAGCTGACCTTGAACAATTATAATGCTATAAGAAAGCGATTGGCAGTAGTGGGAAACTGTCAGGGGAGGGAGAGGTGGATTGGCAGTTAAGGGAAACTGCTACGGGAGGGAGGGGCATCAACAAGGGTACCTGCATGATCAGTGTTTCTATACCTAACCCTGAATTGTACCCCACATCTTTATAGTAAAAATTAATTTTAAAAAAAGACATTGTGCTAAGTGCTGGTCCATATAAGTCACATGGCACAATGCCTGGCATAGGGTGAGTAGTTGGCACGAGCCACAGTTAACACACACACAGCTGACACTTTCTCAGACAGGAGGGTCCATGAAGCACCCAGCAGGAATTTCTGCCTCTTCCCCACCAAGAGGAGTGAGTAGTGGTGACTTAGGTATTATGCCATCTTGGTGCCCAGTAGTGTTTGGCTTAGTAAAAAGAATCAAAGAATGGTTAAAAATAGTTGAAGTCAGCAAATTAAAGTGTACTTTGCCAGCTCTTTAAAATTAGGTAGGAAGGACACATCAAAGTAGTCTGGGAAAATAAATTACTGCCTTAGGAAATCGAAGAGAAGTGTTTGTGAAAGATATTTATCACTCTGTTAGCAACACAACATCGGAAAAGTAGACCTCATCTAAATATCTAAGGATACGAAAATTATTTGGGAAATTAGGAAAGCTAATAAGGTGGAATTTTTGTTTCTCTTTTAAAAAACTGAAATTACATAAGTATATGGAAAATAAACCACCAAAATGTATACATATATAATACCTACATGAAAATCTAGCTCTCTGGCCAAGTTGCTCAAGATAAGATGGAAGAAATAATAAAGTTATTTCAGATTGGTAAATTATATCCTTTGGTTTTTTTTCCAAAAATCTTCTTTAATGCTGCTAAAATACTTTTCTAGTTAAAAATAATAAAAATCAATAATAATAATAATTGAATACTTTCGTGTGCTGGATTAATGACTAAGAATTTTCCTATTTTGGAAAAAAAATTACTCTAGAGAAGTTCCCAGAAGGAGGAAAATAAATAAAAACACATTGGAAAAATTAAATATGGCCAGTGGGTAAACTGTAATTCCCTAGCGCCTAACAGTTTGAAGCAGAATGTTATGCAGATGGTCATTTGCATGCTTAACTACAGAGAAAGGAGCAGATACTCTTGGGAAAGAAGAAAAGAAAAAGGTTGCAGTTTGGAGCAGGGATTGACTGAGTAAATTTTCATCTGGCTTCAAACTTATGTCCTCTTTTACAACCAGATCCCAAACTATGGCCACCCCTGAATAGAGCAAATCAAAATGTTCAGATATTCATGTACTGGGTTCAGAAAGACCTGTTTCCAAATCCCTGTGTCACGTCTTCCTTGCTGTTTGACTTTAGGTGAAGCGCTTAATGTCTTTGAACTTCCATTTCCTTGTCTGTAAAAATGATAAAAATAGTCCCCATTCTTAGGACTGTTTTGAGGATTCCATGATATACATAAAACACCCGACACAGGTAAGTGCTCACTAAGTATCTGGTAATTATACTCTTAATATTATTCTTCTAATAAATTGTTTTCCTACTCTATTTCTGAAGATTACATTATTAATATTGCTATTCTAGTATACTGTTCTCACACTCCCTTTCATTCTTCTTTGTAAGTCAAATTTGGAATGTTTGGATAAAATGCTCTCTTGCATTTTATCCTCTATGCCAAAACCCAAATCCCCCCCCCCCACCGAGTGTCTTCCCATTGCGAGTTTCTGCTCCCCACACGGTGACAACTGTGTCTTTCCTGGTTAGTAGCTGATGAGTCCATCAAAAGATGCTTTTGCAATGCAACGATTTAGGGGTTGCTTAAGTGCCTAATGGAATGTATGATACTGACAGCTCCCCAGGGATGGAAGCTGTGTTTACAACAACGTGCTCCAGGGGGTACCAAACAGGTGCCCAAACCAACGTACTCAGGATCACCATCCAGCAAGTTGGGTAAAGTCTACCCAGTGCTTGTTCTGGCTTCTATGTAATGGTGGTTTGGGAGCCAATATTATACCAATCTTGTTTGCGGGTATCCACAGCATGGGTCTCCATCCCCAACCTGTGTTGTTTTCCCTTGTTGCTCTCTTCTTGCCAATGATTCCTATTCAAAATGTGTCTGACCCCTCTCCTGCACCATCAAAGCCCTGTTCTCTAAGCAACAGGTTGAGTTCTCTGAGAATAGTATATTCTTGGTATTGAGCAACCTCTCAATAAAAAACACTTGAGTTTTAAAGTGTGATTCCCCAAGATAATAATCTGCAATTCAAGTTGACTATTGAGTGCCTACTGGTTACTGAGCCCAGTACTCAAGGCTGCTTGGGAGGGTGAAGAATGAAAAGACAGTAGATATAAACAGTAACAAGCACCAGCTGGACCTCAAGGACCTCAGAGTTAAGTTGGGAACCTTGTCATGGTTACATCTCAGAACGATGCAAGAACAACTAGTAAGGGCTAATCAAGGTGGAATCAAAGCCTGGGGCCTTCACCAAGGAGGAATAAAGGTGATCAGGACAAATGCCATGGAGGAGCAGTTCTTGAGCTGGGCGTTATAGTATGAGAAGGTTTTTCAATGGGTAGAAAATGAAGAAATGGCACTTCTGGCTAAAAAAAAAAAAAACAGCAGGATCAAGGACGCGGAGTCCCCAAAATGCATTTTGTATTAGAAATGTCAGGGAAAAGCCAAGAGTGGCAAGGACCTTGATAATATAGAGGACGACTACAGAGAATAAAGCTCATATGTGAATTATATCAGTCATTATAGCAGGATTTGTCATTTACTGAGTACCTGGTGTTTTCTAGACCCTATAGTAGATAGCTTATTAATAAAAGCAAATCTCTGTTAAGGTATAAAGGACATACTGTGCTAGCCACTGTGCTAAGCACTTGATGTGAATTTACACTTCTAGGTAAATAAGCTCTATTATCTGTGAGAACATTTTGTTTTCTCTGTTCTACTTTTGATTTATAAGATACCAAGCATTCTTCAAGCAGTGCAGTAGGTGAATACCTGAGCTTTCAAGCCCAGCTCCATGTTTTACTAGCTATGTGATCCTGGACAAATTATTCTCCCCTCTTGAAGCACGGTTTCCTCATCTGTAAGATAAGATCAGTTAAATTAGTGCCTTCACAAGGTGATTGGGAAGAGTAAATCAGAGACCATCTAAACAGTACCTTAGCACAGAATCTGGCTGAGATAAACACTTAATAAAAGCTAGTTATTACTCTTCCTTGGTGCTGCCTACCGAAGTGGCAGCCATCTCCTACCCAGCATCATGGCTGCCCTCAGACTCCTGTGAAACCCAAGATCGTCAAAAAGAGGACCAAGAAGTTCATCCAGCACCAGTCAGACCGATATATCAAGATTAAGCATAACTGGAGGAAGCCCAGAGGTATTGACAACAGGGTGTGTAGAAGATTCAAGGACCAGATCTGGATGCCCAACATTGGTTACGGGAGCAACAAGAAAACAAAACACATGCTGCCCAGTGGCTTCCGGAAGTTTCTGGTCCACAATGCCAAGGAGCTGGAAGTACTGCTGATGTGCAACAAATCTTATTGTGCTGAGATTGCTTACAGCGTTTCCTCCAAGAACCGCAAAGCCATTGTAGAAAGAACAGCCTAAGCCGGGCTCGGTGGCTCAGCCTGTAATCCCACGCCTTTGGGAGGCTGAGGTGAGTCGATTGCCTGAGCCCGCAGGTTCGAGACCCGCCTGG